ATATAGATAACAATATTTATAAGTTGTTGCAAAGTGTCACTTAAAATAGTAGCTTTAGCACAGAGATTTCGCTGATGCATAATACAATGTAAAGAAATGAGAGCATGTGGATCTGTTACAATAATACTTTTTTTATCTGTGCAATAAACCCTTCATGTTTTCCTGTCATGGAAGGTGCACTATCTGTACGTACACACACCAAATTTACCAAATTCAGTCCAACTTCACGACATTTATCTTGAAAGTTGTTGAAGATATCTGTTCCCATGTTCTGTTCACAGGAGTGTCCAAAGCAAGTAACTCTTCATAGCAAAGATAATCTTCTGTTATGATCTGAATGAAGTATAAAACCTGCACCAAGTCAGTAGTGTCAGTTGATTCATCCAAAGTGATTGAATAATACATATTTTCCTTTCAAAGTATTGCATGAAGTTGTTCTGATAAGTTGAAGGCAATTCATGCTGCAGATCAGTTATGGTTCTCCTTGAAAGAGGCAATTGTTTGTACTTTGAAACGTGATTGGGGTCTAAGCATCCTACAACTTTGACAATGCATTCTTTCACAATTTCTACATCACTGAATGGCTTCCTTTTTTTCTTGAGTGTATGAGCTACTTTATAAGTTGGTTAAGTGGCATTATTTCCAGGTCTCATTGCTGCTTGAAAGAACTGTCTTTGCTTTTGCTTTTTATCTTTTAATTTCTGCAATACAACCTTTCGTGCCTCTCCTTCTGATTTAAAATATTTTTGATCCTGATGAGTATTACAATGCTGATGAGCATTGAATTTCTTTAATGTTGATATTGCAGTATCACAAAGCAAGCAAATCATCTTTAGCAGAAACAAGATAATATTGCAATTTCCAATCCTCATTAAAAAATATGTTTTCTTCCTTCAGCGTTCTCTTGGTCATCTTTGACATGACAGGCTGTTAAACAGACAGAATTAAAAAATACTGTTGAGCTGTGCAACTATTCACAAATTCTACTTCAAACAAAAACATAGTGCACCATTGTCAAAAGCTGATAACAGACTGTTGTCCTCGATCCACATAAACTCTGGCCAACCAGCCTTACGCAGTAGTGGTGCCTGTCAGGCAGGGGAAGTTAGAACTAAATGGTGAGCATAGGAGCCGTCAGTTTATCCCTGTGGTTTACTAATGTTCTAATTGCGCTGGTCAATCTGGGAGGATTATTTCACTGAAACTTACTCTTTGGTATT